TGCAAGTTTACACGGTATATGTTTATCGTCTTTTTCAATGCAGTAAACTTAATATAAGATGAGTGTGTGGTTGGCGGGTGCATTCGTGTGTTTTTGGGTGAAATTTAATCTTCCTGTCGGGCAAAATAGCAATGGACGAATGAATAAATAAATAAGTAAATGAATAAATAAATAGATGATGTGGTTTGCTCCTCCTTTCCTATCAAACATCTATTGTCCTTCTCTCTCCTCCTGCTTTTTTTGTGTTTGTTACTCTCTTGTAATAACCTCTATTCCTCGGCTCTTAAAAGACGTTAGTGAGTTACTTACTTACTTATCCCATAGTGTTGGTGACCACTGAGCCACCAAGGATGATCTGGCAACCACTCTTCGCCATACTTTTCTATCTTAAGTCTTTCGAAGGGCTTCACTACCCAAAGTTAAGCTTGTCCAACCCGCTATGAAGTCTTCCCATCTTCCCATCTCTTTTTCTGTCTGCCTATCCTTCTCCCTCCTTTCACTGTGCCCCGTAGCATTATCTTTGCAAGTCTTGTTAATCTTGTTATGTGCTCATACCATCCCAATTTGGTCACTTTTAAGAAAAAGCGGGCTATCCCAGATTTCGGGGGTTTCCAGAAATCTTGACCTATACCAAAAATGGACATTGCCCTACCTATTTGAGAAGCTTGGTTTCATGGGTGTGTATGTTTGTTTGGTTATAGAGAAAACTCCCCTTGTCTTCTAAAAAGATAGAAACAAGGGGCAAAAACTTTCCCTTCGATTTTCTAAAAACAGCATGTATCGGGATAGCCCCCTTGTGCTTAAAAGCGACCCTTTGTGTTTTTTCACAGCGGTGAGAAGATCTTCACAGGGCCCAGTTATGTTTGCAAGTACCGTAAAATTGCTTTCGTCTCCACTTTCTGCCCCCACCCCTCACCTCATGTGTCCCCTTCTCTGGGCTCCTGACTCTTTATGCAGCCTTTCTACTGCTACTCCTTGGCTCCTTCTTACTGCATCTTTCAGCCACACCCCTGATCTTCTGTAGGTAAGATGTACACCTAGCCTTCTTGGACAAGAGCGAAAAATCTCGGAGGGCCCGTGTGCAAGCTGATCCCTTAGTGGTCCAAAATCGATAAGAGTAGGCTTCGGCCGCCACCCAGGCAAAATTCAAAATTTCCTACCAACTGAATAAGTTTAAAGTGTCCCGCGCGCTCATATGACCTTATGCAGTTACGAGCGCTGTAAAAACACTTACAAAAAAAAAGTTTTACGATACTTGGCTAAAGTACCCAGGGAAAAGAAAAGAAAGAAACTTGGCTGGCTTGAACCGTACGTACCTGCATTGTGAGAGAGGAAAGTAATGATAGACAGATTTCACGCTCATGAACAACTACAAAAAGACTGAGATGTCTGGGGGGAGGGGGGGGGAGATTTTTCTGGCTCGTGGTAGATTATTTAATGAAGGAGGTCCTTTTACCCTAGGGAATGGAAGAATCTCTTGGTGTTCATTTAACCCTATCCGTACGCTCTGGGATCATTTTGTACTCCGGGGTTGTATTCTTCACATTTTAGAATACTTTTAGTGCGAAGATCTCTTTGAAACTTTCAGTATTTCTCCGAAAATCATTTTGACAGACTACAATGCAAAGCATACGGATCGGATTAACGAGTAAATTTCCTCCTTTGAAAGTGGTGGCACAGAGTTCCCCATGTCGTATGGATGCGATAAGGAAACGATAGTAAAACACGACGACGTACGGATAGGGTTAATGAGCCATGTCCTTTTACCGTTGTGAATGGAAGAATCTCTTGGTGTTCTTTTACAAGAAAGAAATATTCATTTAATAGTAGTCGTGGGAAGGTAGAATACTCTATTTGTACATGTAGTATATTATTATATAACTCCAAAGGTCTTGTGTTTAAATTCCTGCATGTGGTTGAATGATGCATTTAATGTGAATGTATATTTTATCAGCTTTAGTTCTCTTTTCATATTGAATTTTAATGAGAGTAATATACAATTTAAATATTTTATGTATACCTGCATGTGTTTTTACGGTCCCGTACAGCCAAGAAAAATTTCCTCTGGGATAATAAAGTATTACCTTAACTTATCTTATCTTAGTAAGTAGTAATATTGAAATTGTAGGAGTTCCTTTCTTTCTCTTATTTTCTTCATCCTTTGTAAAAAATGGCATTTATACTTTCTTCAAAGTAGCATGTAATTTTTAACCCAGGAATCAAGCCCACGTATTTCGTCGTGCGTGAGAAAAAAAACAACAACTCAATCATCAAGACATTAAAAGAACTGCATTCGAAAAAGATTGCTATGTTGTGAAACTCCAAATTATTTTTTTTTACGACAAATTTCTCAAAACTAGGAACTGAGCAGATAGAGCTTTGTAATTCTGAGGTAGTGATTACTACCTCTACTTTTTTTTGGGTGGGGGGGGGGGGGCTACATTCGACAACATAACAGAAGCGCCAAACCCAACAGCGAGCTTTCTCTAGCTGCGTCGAATGTAGGTCCCCCCCCCCCCCCCCCCCCAAAAAAAAAAATTCGATAAAAGTTCCCAACCCTGGGGCTTCCTCAAAATCATTATTTTGACGAGCGCCTGGTATCACCACGCTGCCTCCCAAATTGAAACGAGAGGGCTGATGGGACAGGAATTGGAGCATGTCATCCATTATCTTTGATGCCCGCCCATTCATGCACAGCTGAGACCCTTCTTTCTTCCCGTAGCCCCGAGGACAAAGCTAGTGTAAACAAAGATTCTACGGCAGACCCTCAGAATCAGGTCACAGCATACAGATCAAATAGATCTAATTGGTTGGCCCATTCCGCTACCTTTATACAGTTCTATCTGACATTTTTGGCGGTTTTTAAGTTACTAAGAGTAGGAGGTGAGAAACCAAATGAAGAGCACAGGTAGAAAACGACGGTAGTCACAAACTGGAATGTGTGAGGGTGTCTATTCTAATACTTTGCCATCACAAGGCTCATAGTAAAAAAAAACCTTGTAGTCACAGGCAAAGGCATTTGGGGGAAAATCCAAAGAAACTGGGCGGTAAACATCGCCGATTGGCGAGAAATGACAGCAAAGTGTTTAAAGCTTGTGGACTCAAACTTCGTATTTGTTTGACTGGTGGTTTATTGTGAAGTGTTGTTGAATGGGGAATCTAACAACAAAAATCAACTAACAGTTGACCAGAAATGCAGTTATGAGACAAAAAGCGTTCAAAATTGGTACCCTCACGATTTTCAGTTTGTGACTGCAGTCGTTTTTCCACGGCAATCTTCAAATTTTCCCTCCCCTATATCAAAATCGTTAGATTCTTCGGAGTTGTCATCAAGACATTAAAAGAATTGCATTCGAAAAAAATTGCTACGTTGTAAAACCCCAAAATCTTTACGACAAATTTCTCAAAACTAGGTACTGAGCAAATAGATCTTTTGTTATTCTGAGGTAGCTATTCGCCGCTGGTATAATATACAGTGGGCTTTCTTCTTTTTTTTTTTTGGGGGGGGGGGGGGGGTAAGTGTTTCACGGCGTTCGCAATTGCATAAAGTCATATGAGCGCGTGGGACACATTAAACTTTTTCCGTTGGTAGGAAATTTTGAATTTTGCTCGGGTGGCGGCCCAAGCCTAATCTGATCGATTTTAGACCACCGATGGATCTTTAACTTGCGTAACTTGCCCTCGGGCCCTTCGAAATTTTCGCCCTAGGCTAAGTGTAGATCTTTCCTACCAGAAGATCAGGGGTGTGGTGGAATCAGGCTCTCGTCAATTTTTGGGCATGTAGAGTTATTGGAATCATCTTAAAGCTTGTCCACTTGTCTTTATTTAGATGAAAAAATACCCATTTATCTTGAATACAAGTCGAGATATTTGCGAAAGAAGTAGGTGGGGGTTACCTGTTTTCATTGGTAAAATTAGGGAGAAAATGGCCGCCAAAAATTAGTTATTTCCTTAGCTTAAGGGTCCGTGGTAACTGAAAATTTATATTTTTTGTGCCTTTTATCAATGTTTTTTTTTAACCCCCCCCCCCCCCCCCAAAATGAGTTCTTTAATGGGTCTGAAAGGTGTTGAGCCAAAAAACAAAAATTTGATAAAAATTCACAAACATGCGGGAAAAGGCACGATTCTTCACTTTGATTATTTTGACGAGAGCCCGATTCCACCGTGCTGCCTCACAAATAGTTATTTACCACCGACAGTTTGGTATTGATGATGAGGCCAATAATGATAATAATGTATAACAAAAACACATTTAGGTGGAATCATTGCTTGAGTGGCATCGTGCTTTAATAATCATCCCGCGTTCGTCAAAATAAAGAAGTCAGAAAAAATACGTTTTTTTCAAGCACACTGAGAGGGGTTTTTTTCTTTAAGAATCAACAGTCTTATGCCTGTATTTTTAAAAAAAACATTTTTAAGCAGGAGTTTGGTTAAAAGTTAACCAAAGGCACAAAAATGGTAAATGTGCAGTTTTCAAGAACACCCAAATAAAACGGCCGTTTTGTCTCTAATTAACATCTGATAGCAGTTGACCCTTCTTTCCTTCAACTGTAAATATCCCGAGTTATTTCTTAGATGTGGTCGCTTTTAAGAACAAATGAGCTATCCCGAAAAAATGCTGTTTTGCGAAAATTGAAGGTAAAGTTTTTGCCCCTTATTCAGTTTTTTTAAAGATAAGGATAGTTTTCTCAGTAACCAAAACAAATATTATACACACCAACGAAGCCAAACTTCTTCTATAGGTGGGGTAATGCCCACTTTTGGTGTAAGTCAAGCTTTCTGGAAACCCCCAAAATCTTGGTTAGCCTCAAAAAGCGACCATGATTAATTATGGCTATTTCTTTTTCATCGAAAGCAAGCCAAATAAGCAAGCTTTAATATGATATCAATAGTTCCATATGCCCAGAAACTGACGAGCGACTGATTCAAAAAGCGTGGAGACACATTTCCATTATTTCGTTTCGCAGTCAGTTGTTTTTAATAATATAACAAGAGAGCATTTCATCTCACCTTTCCCCACAACATGGGCCCAAGGCGTACATAGGAGATTAAAAACGCATTCATACTAACACCATACAAATTCATCATGTGCGCACATTTTGACTGCAGCATTCTTTCAGATAATTTAAAAATGCTCATATAAAAAGGCAAGGTACTGTCCATTAATTAAAATATTTCTTAAATAGATGTGATTTGAGTCCCCTTTTGAAGGTATCAAGTTTTATTTCGCTCCTCAAATCCTGAGGGAGAGTGTTCCAAACTGTTGGCCTGGAAAAAGAAAAAGCTCTCTCACCATATTTCTTCTGTGACACACGAGCTATACCGTACCCTATACATAGATAACCAATCTTGAGTTTAAAGATACGTGGAAATATTTCCTGAAACCGTCCAATTCCCCACGAAATCTGGAACCGTGGTGGTTGTGAGGACATCAGAAAGCGTGGCGTTGGGGTCCTGAAGAATGAGGCCCTGTGCCCAGGTTGGGAAGCTGTCCAATGAGAAGGCGGCATGACCCCAAGTGTTGATGCCAAGGGAGATTACTGCCACGCCGAGCATGTTGAGGATAAAGCCGCACTTGATCTAGTTAGGGGGAGAGGGAAGGGAAGTGATGATGATGATGATGATGATGATGATCTCGTCTTCCCAATTTCTTTTTATCGCACCTTTTGGTATTATGAGGTGGATGTGTGCTCTTTTGTTGCCATCGCTTGTAGTCATTTGATCTTACATTATTTTTGTATCGTGTTCCTGATGATGCCCTTTACAGGGCGAAACGTAGAACCTGTGTTAAATTTGAAAAATCTACCAAGTCCCAACTCCTTTTTTATTCCCTTCTACTTACAGTGATGATGGTGATGGATTATGGATTGCATTTATATAGCGCATATCCACTTATGCAATGCTCTATGCGCTTAACATGAAACATATTAAGGAATTACAAATCTATTTTATAGGCACATAGTGTTACATACGCGTGCACACACACATACTCACGCAAGCACGCACCACACACACACACACACACACACACACACACACACACACACACACACACACACACACACATACACATACATACACACATACGTGCATACGCACATACAAACTCACAACGATCTACAGCTTGGACGTATTCTGCCTAATCGAAATATGATGAAAATAGAAATGCTTTTAGTTTTTTCTTTAAAAGTTCTATATTTTCTGCTTCTCTGATATGTTTTGGGAAGCCTATTCCAAACAAGTGGGGCAAAATATGAAAAAGAGCCTCGGCCATATGATTTGTAATTTATTTTAGGTTTAACTAGAGTTGTTTTATCACTTGATGATCTGAGCGTTCTAGGAGGTACATAGGGCGTTAAAAACTGTTTTAGGTAGTTAAGTGATAGATCATGTAAGCACTTGTAGCAAGTTAAACAGATTTTATATATAATATATCATATGAATCGCTCCTTCACCAGGAGCCAGTGTAGTTCTTTCAAAATAGGAAGTGACGTCATCATCTGCTGTGTTTCCACGGCTGAGCACAAGGAGTGAGTATATTATCCACTTTTCAAAATTTCGAGAAAAACGAGTTTGAAATAAATATGTGTCATATCGCTGGAATCGTGCGCTCGTCAATTTTGGGGCTTGTGTTGAAATCATCTTAAAACTTGTTCAGTTGTCTTGCTATCGATGAAAAAACCCCCCCACCAATCTATTTAGAATAGAAGTCGAGATATTTGAGATTGAAGAATGTGGGGTTGCCTGGTTTCAAAAGCAAAATAAGCGAAAATATGGCCGCCAAAGTCTGATTATTTCCATAGCTTGATAGTCAATGGAAACTGAAAACGTACTTTGTAATATTATGATCCTTTAATCTACGTTTCTCAGTAAAAATCCACACCGAAATGAGTTCTTAATTGGACAAGAATGGTGTTAAGCCAAAAAACAAAAATCCAATAAAATTTGCCAATCAGGAAGTAAGATGCTAGTTTCTTCAATTTCACTATTTTGACGAGCGCCTGATTTCACCAAGCTGCCTCACATATAATTGACGATTCTAAAATCTATACATGTATAACATAATCAATTTCTAAAAAAGAAACATTAATACAGGCATTTCGATACCAAAGCGGACAGCGACAGAAAATGTTCTTTTCTAATATCTTCTCCTTTCGCCTCCTTTCTTGCTCAATAACCATGTTCTGTCGTCTGCTCTCGTCTCCACTTTACTTTCTGCCCCCACCCCCTCACCTTCTATGCTCCCAACTCCTTGGTTCCTTCTTTCTGCAGCCTTTCTACTGCTACTCCTTGGCTCCTTATTGCTGTCTTTCAAACATACCCCTGATATTCTAGTAGGAAAGATCTACACCTAGCCTTCTCGGACAAGGGTAAAAAAATCCGAGGTCCTGTGTGCAAGTTGGGCAAGGTAAAGATCCCTTGATGGTCCAAAATTGATCAGAGAAGGCTTCGGCCGCCACCCGGACAAAATTCAAAATTCCCTACCAACTAAAAATGGTTAAATGTGACCCGCACCCTCATATGACCTTATGCAGTCGTGAGCGCCATAAAACATTTACCAGGAAAAACAAAACAAAAATTTTAAAAACACAATTTACACCACAAAAAAAAAGAACTGTTTGTTTTTATTGTTGTACATGTTTTACGGCGCTCGTAACTTCATAAGGTCATATGAGCGCGCGGAACACATCAGTTGGTAGAAAATTTTGAATTTTGCCCTGGTGGCGGCCGAAGCCTACTCTTATCGATTTTAGACCACCAAGGGATCTTTAACAAACACAACTTGCAAATGGGATCTCTGAGATTTTTCGCCCTTGTCCGAGAAGGCTAGGTGTAGATCTTTACTACCAGAAGACCAGGTGTGGCTGAAAGACAGCAGTAAGAAGGGGCCAAGGAGAAGCAGTAGAAAAGCTGTAGAAAGAGTCAGGAGCCCAGAGGAATGAGCAAAAGAGGTGATAGGGTGGGGTCAGAAAGTGGAGACGAAAGCAGACGACAGAACATTGTTAGAGAACTAGCAGGACAGGAGGTGAAAGGAGAACATTTTAGAGAAGAAAATTAATATGTTTCCGTCCCTACCCAGATCTGTACCCGGGACCTTTGAATGAGATGCGAACACCTTAGCTTAACCTCTACACCACTAGAGCCCCCTGGGAACATCTTATTCTTACCATGTCTGTGACCTTGACATCACCGTAAGCAAACACCAGGGCGTTAGGGGGCGTGGCCACAGGCAGCATGAAGGCCAATGAGCAGGCGGCGGTCGTGGGCAGCATCAGATACAGGGGGTGCACGTGCATGTCAAGAGCCTGTCAGAGGGAGGGGGTGGAGGGGGAGGTGGAAGTGGGAAAGAACAAGCCAAAGCCCAGTAAAGGAAGACATACAGATGAAGAAATGGAAAAGGATTGGACACACACTGAGGAGACCCCCGACAAAAAAAACATCACCAGGCAGGCTTTAACGTGGAAAGCAAAAGAAAAACGTAAGAAGGGAATACCAAAGATGACATGGAGGCGAGCAGAAATTGAAAAAGCGGGGACATCATGGAAACAGATAGAAAAAGATGCTACGGACAGGCTTCGCTGGAGTAATGCTGTTGATGGCCTGTGCTCCACTGGGAGTTTTAAAAAAAGGGCGAGATAGAGAGAGAGAGAGAGAGAGAGAGAGAGAGAGAGAGAGAGAGAGAGAGAGA